CAGGTGTGCGACAAGTTATTTCTCAGGTTAGAATAGACACGTACAACGATAGTATAAATTCTTTCCACGGAAGTTCAGTATCCTTCCTCCTCTGATAAAATTTCTGTGGGCTTCCGCGTTGAAGCGTTGAACTAGATGACACGTCAAATATGACCTAATATTTCCTATTGTATTAACCAAACAAAATTAAACCTAGTCATCAATCAAGTTCCAGCTCTCTCTGAATATGCATTCTATATGGTATAACTCGGGACTACTAAAGACACTTTACACGACAGTTCATGTCCTCTTATAACGAAAGAGACGTACCTCGTTCTTGTCGTCGACTTGACTTACATACGAGGCGAGTTGACTTAAGAGGACGACTAAATCCCTAGAGATTCCACATTAAAATACTTCTCGCATCCTAAACATTCGGGATCTTCAATAATTTTTCTATTTTTTGCAAAGTCGAATAGGAGTGAACTACCCTCAAAATAAGCCATAGCACATTTTTGGATGTGATGCAGGTTCCTTCCCCTTGCAATAATGAACAGGGGAAGAAAGTATGAATAGTAGAATATAGTTTTTTTTGCTTGCTGAGAGTTGCTGAGAATAAATAATGTGGGAGAAAATCATCATAAAAGTTGTTATAGGGACAGAGTCATCAATTTTACCTGTCTTAACTTTGGAGAAACACTGTAGAGATTATCTTTCTTTGGAATGAGATTTATGTCTTTGTGACTATGGGTAGAAAACTTCACATTCCTCGGATGTGCCCCCGAAATTCAACAAGAACTTTTTCCTTTTTAACCTTGGATAGGTTGCGAATCTTGGAGTCAGGCCGAGTGGAGATTGAGGCGCAAGACAACGACGTGCTTTTCGTGGAATGCGACCAGAAGAAAGGAACAAAGCGCACCCTGAACCTGAACCCGTGGGTGGAAAAGTGCCACGCTCAACACCTCAACGAGGTGGCCGGCCGCCGATACGCAGAGTCCAAAATTACTCACAGTAAGAATTCCCTTATTAGAACAATCGACCCACGTTCTTATTATCAACGCTCTGCCTCGCAGAATTCATCGTACTTGAGAATCTCACGTCCAAAATTAAGTACCCTTGTGTGCTGGACTTGAAAATGGGGACGCGGAATTTCGGAGACGACGCTCCGCCGTCTAAAATTAGGAGCCAACAGGCGTTTCCACGACGCTGGTGCTGACGCTTCGAGCCGCAAGCCTAGACACCGTACGTTCATTCGTAGACTCGGATAATCTGTCTAAGTAAAGTGCGAGCTTTTTTAACTATTGTTTGTGTATTATAAGCTATAAACGCCTCAGAACATTCACCAATCAAGATTAGGCATGGATTATTTCTCTGGCGTTCGTGAGGCGGCGCCGAAAAGCTGCGTAGAAAATAGCAATAAAGCCGGCATGCGAAATCGGTGTTTATTTTTAGCCCGTGTGTGTGAAAATAGCAGAGGCTTGTGGAACCATATGGGATCTTTCTTCTGGCATCTGGCTTCCCTCCAAAACGACTAGCGCAATTGAATTTGCGTATCTCGTCGAAAGTTTAGCTGAATGACCGAGTTTTGTTCGCGAATAGCTTACTCAGGCCTCAGTAATCCCCCGAAAATTGACGTGTTCAACACAATTTTGTAGACATATTCGGAAACTTTTTTGCGAGCGGAGAAGGTTTTATTCGTGAAAAGTGGATTTTGCTGAATCTTCATGTCATCAATCGTTTGTTCTAGGTGTATCAGGCGAACACTGGGGGGTTCCTGTGCTGGGACAAGTATGACGGCAGGGCCTTGAAGGTGGAAAATTTCCAAGATGCCCTGTGCCAATTCCTGAACAACGGCAAAGTATTCCATCGGGAACTCTTGCCGAAAATCCTGACTCGTCTCAAGCGTCTGCGGCATTCTCTCGAGACGCTGGACACCTTCCGGTTTTATTGTTCATCTCTGTTGATAATTTATGAAGGCAGTCCTTCGCCTCCTGCCGCCAACAAATCCAGTTACGTGGACCTCCACGACAGTCCGGACGAAGACTTGCATTTCCTCCAGGAATCCTTGGAGGAACGAGCGACCGACGTGTCGCTGATTTTAGGGGCACCGGACGCTGTTTCGACGGAGACGGGCGGCCAACTGTTGATCAAGTTGATCGACTTCGCTCACGCAACGTGCAAAAACGTCAACAACACGGACTGCATCCATTCCGGCCCTGACCGCGGGCTCATCTTCGGAGTGGATAACCTGATATCAATTTTCCAGAATATTTTGGACGAATGCGGCCGGAGGGCGTGAGTGCAGGAACAGCGACAGAAGAGGCCGAAGAAACAATGCATTTCTTTGTCCCGAGTAAAGGAAGCAACCTTTGGTCTCATGTGCTGATCGGAAGTACGACAGGAGTCAACGGCTCGGGGAGTTGAATGTGAGACGAAATTAGGGACCAGGAGGCCAAAGCGCAGTAGAAGCATTTGCTTTTCAAAAAATTGCAAACGAATTTGTTGTCTTGCCCCTGATCAAGTACAATCTGCATCGTCGGTCTCGTAGGATACTTGGACGAGGATAAGTTGTGCGTGATTTTTGGTGACTTATTCTTTTCATTCCTTTGCATTGTTTCCTCGGAAGCAAGTCATTCCGACATTAGCGGTATCGTCAGGCTACAAGCTTTTTTTTTTTATAATCTGGTCAAAAACTGGAGCAACGATCCACTCTTAATTTTAGAGGATGGTTTCAGTGCTTTTATTTTGATTTCGAATTTTCCTGTTGATCTGTAGTGATGCAATCATGTGATGCGAGGTGATCTTCTCGTTTATCCCATTTCTTACAACGGGTCAGGAGAGGCGAATGAAAACTATGTTCTTCCACTTACGACTGCATTTTTATTGTAAGACGAAGTATGTGTAGCAGCGCAATCACTTCTACAGAGCTGAAAGAAAATGTCTCCAGCATGAGACGAGAACTCGGAATGATGATCTATTCATGCGTCGGCGCCCTCGATTTTGAATTACAAGCGACACCTACATGAAATTGCTGAACCGTTACCGTGAAAGTTTTGCCTTGGAACTTAGAAGCGGCTGCTTAGAAATTGAAATTAAGACAGACCAAAGCTATGCAAATGTGCAAATTATTGTTTTTTCATTCGATCAAATTTCAGTGTTTTAAAAAATATTCGAAGTTTTGGATGAATGCGGCTCTATCTATAATTCTGGCAATTACGTAAAATTAGGACTGGACTATTCTGGACAAATGTTCCGCTATTGGCAAATCGGCACTTCTCAGTCGGCATAACATTTGTCTTGAAGTTCCCGGAATACTGCGACGCTCTATTCTGCTGCTCATTTGAATTATGTAAATGTTTAAATTAGTTTACTTGCATGCGCTTTCGTGTCAGATTGACGCTTGACAACATGGTAGCTCTAGCTCAATTCCCGTGTCAGATTCAATTTTTCAGTACAGTACTGTATATACATACTGTATACCGTATTAATATAAGTATATACTGTAGATATATGTACGATACTGCATCGCCTCCTTTCTGCTTGTTGGGGAAATTTTTAGTTTGGTTCTCAACCTTATGCAAGAGAGAATTGCAAATCCCACTTCTACACAATCTTGTTAACAAGCTGCGTGATCTATGCAACTCAATCCCGCACAGGTTTTCTCGAGGACTAGTACCTGCAAAATTATGCCCAATTTTATTGGGGTCAATTTGTATTCCTATTTTGTCTGTTTTCGCCAGTATACTAAATTATATTTCTTGAGGAGTTGAAAGCTGTAGATTTGTAGAAGATGGATTTTCAACCTTCCTATGGATTAAGACATGGCAGCGTTTACGTAAAAGCTCGAAGATGCAAATAGCACCGGTAACTCTGGGATGAAATTGCTTTCACTCTAACTCAGTTAGATTAATTGTTCAGTTGAATTTAGTTGTCTTAAAACTGCGTTAGAGTCAAAGCAAATGTATATAGCGTTCAAAATTAGCACAAAACGAACACTGTGTATTCTCTATGAACTTCCCATTCCTATTCAGCACATTTCCATTCAATTCTATGCACCAATCATTTGGATGCCCAATGTGCGCATGTCGGATTTTTGCATTATTGATTCAAATAAGCTATATATAGCTTTGTGTCTGAATCTCGAGGTTAGGACAAAAGAAATCCTTTAGCTGGAAACATATTTTTTTTTAGCAAACTACCCTATTTACTTGAGCATCCATTGCACTGTTAAAAAAATGGAACCAAAAAGTGGGATGCGCATCCTACTGGAGTACGAACAATTCCTGCAAAAATTCTTGTGCGCATTATCCTTGGATCACTTTACATGAAATATATTATGCATAATATATATTACAAGATACTTGGAAATTGACAGCATTTGAAGTCTTTTATATTTGAGCATAAATGGTTGACTTAGAAATTGTCAAATTTCAACTGTGAACATCTTTCACTGAGAAATGAGAACAGGGGCGCGCATCTTGAAAGTTGCCCCCTCACTTCTGCAGCTCAAAAATGAATGTGAGCGTATTATGCAATGGTGTTTGGTACTTGAGTGAAGTCGGTATAGATAGGTAGCATGTATTCAGGACAGGTATTACATCCAGAGCAAGATAAGTAATATTTTTTCTATGAATATGTCCTGTTCTTGGAGAAACAGGGTATCACTTTTCAACATCGCAACAATCATCGTTACAAACAAGAAAAAAAGTTCAAGTGTTTGAATCCCTCAATGCAAAGAGAGATTTCCTCGAATCGATAAGCAATCGATTTTTAGAAGGGAATGCGAAAGAAGCCATGAAAAAATACGTCTTGTCAACGAAATGATACTACAGTAGTATTCTATGTGTAATGTATTTCGCAACCCTACGAGGATCCCGTCGAGACACCGAACACCCCTCGACTAACTCGAGTTCATGCTAGTGTTACAGTGGGAACGAATGCTGGCGGATGCAGGAACTCGCCTTTCAGCACACGCCAGCAGCCATGAGGTGCAATCGTCACAAGTAAATATAGACGGAAACTTGAGGATTACTCAACCAAGAGTTGTAAGCTTCATTCCTCTTCATCCAAATTTTTCTTGACGAGCAGGCATTTCATCGCGCTCAACACTTTTCAACACATCGCGGGCTATTATTCACCACAGAACAGTCCAAATTTGCGCTCCAACGACAGAATAAAAAAAAAAACGCGAAAAAACTGAGACACAGAAGAGCCGCTTTGGGAGCGGAGCTTCAAAAAATCCCCCTTTTTGACTCATCGGCGAGCTTATTACAATGCAAGTACCCCAATAACATGCTGGAAGGCGATGCTCACGCAAAAACCCGTTACAAAACAAAACAAAAAAGCCACGCTTGTCAGCAAATATCTCCGATGAGATCCATCTCCAAGTGGGCGGCTAAATCACAACAATGCATACACTCTCTCGAATCCAAAAATTCTTTCCAAGCAAAATGCGGGATAGCTCCTAGAGTTCCACGACAATATGGGCCAGCGAGTCGCCGCCTTGAACAGGCAAGTCAGCACAGGCAAACGAACGAGTAGCTGGTTAGAAATTCCTGTCTTTAATCCTAACTTGCAGCTTTGGATTGATAGGCAAGGATTAGATGAGACAAACTTTCGAGTCTTCGTTTGCTGTCCCAAGACTGACCGTCCATATCCACACGATTACGAGGTATGATCCGTAAGTTTTGAGACGCGAACAATTGCTATCACTGAAAACTTGCATGGCCTCAATTTTTATACTTTTATTTATTTTTTGTCTGGTATCCAGCCGTCTTTGGTTAATTAGTTTTGCCCGCTCAGGTGAAGACAGGCTAGGAAAGAGCTTGATAACATGCCTCAAGATTCAATACAGGTCGCCTTGGATCAACTGAAGAAATTCATCAATTAAGCGATATTATTTAGATGATAATTCCTGACATGTCCACGAATGATTGATTACGTACTTGATTTATGCAGACACAGGCCAGGCCGCATGCCCGTATAAGCCGAAGAGAAGCAATTAAATGGAAAATGCCGTATATCGCAAAAGATACCGAAAGTCGTTTAGATTATTAGAAAACAGCGGCTTATCCAGTAACAGATCAACGAGGAAAAAACAAGCAACAATTTAAAGTTTCCAAAGATGTAAGCAGAGAACTTGAAAAAATTCTCAGGCACAATTGACTCAAAGCCCAGGAAAAAGCGTCACATATTCTGGGCGGGAAAACGAGAGGACGTTTTCCTTCTTCATAAATACAAAACATTTCGGGTAGAGGTCGCACCCGAGTTTCCAAAAAAATTTTACTAGGAAAAATGTCATGAATTTTTTTTTTTTAAACAATAATGGGATGCAAGTTTCGTTTTCGGCATTGAAAAAAGTCTGTTTATGCATTATCATTAGTCTCAAAACTCAGGATACCAACCCTTCGTACACCCGCCGATGCGTTGACCAATTTCCCCGCCCCTTTCATCCAGTCTCTCATCCACAAGAAAAGCGCATGGAAAATAAAACACAGTTCCGTCACCCCCCCTGTCACTTCAGTCCGAGTCGGACCGGCGTTTGGCCGCGTGTTTCGCAGGGGGGCTATCACACTCAGGGCTGGACTGGGTCTCGTCCGAGCACGCTGTCTCTGGACGCAGCTGCACCATTTCCGCCATGCTGACCATCGGGTCTTCCGAACAGGACCGACGCAAAGTCCATGCGGCAAACGTTTCCGGCTCAAGCGGCGAGTACCGATAGTTGTACTTGGAGTTGAGAGACCCGCTGCTGCCGCGCAAGCGTTCCAGAAGCCCAGCGGAGAAACTAGTCCCGGGTGCGTTGGCCGGCTTGAAGGCGTCATTCAGGGACTTGGTGTTATGCTTCAAAAAGTCTGTCCACGTTTGCACCACAGAGCTGCGTTTGGAAATGCTGCAATCGTCCGACGACGTCGACCCGACTTCACCAGCGAGGGATGTAGCCATTCGAACGCTGCTGGCAATGGACTGCCGCTCGCAGTTGTCGCCTTTTTCGCCGTCGTATCTACGACCAGGAGAGAGAAAACGAAGTGAACTTGATCAATCGTCATCTACCACTGATTTGCAACACGTCCATAGCGTGTAGAATTCGAGGTGGCTTACTTTTTGACAGAACAGTATTTTTATTAGCTTTCTGGTTCTTCTTCATTTTTCCAAGGCCACTCTACCCGTCTACCGTGTTACCAAGAAAAGAGGAAATTTATTAAACCATATCAATATCAGGTGGCTTGGGTATGTCATTGCGTTCAGATGAGAGAAATGAGAAAATTCCGATTTTGATGGGATTCGCGAGCGCGTAGAACTTTTTTGCGGAATATTTCAGGCAGATTGAGAGCAATCGTACTCAAGTGAGAGGATTAGACGAAAGGGGAGTTTGATTCGGCAACTGGTGCTGCTGCAAGAACAGCGGAGGAAAACGTATTTTTCCGATGGCTTATTTTCACGCTAGGGCTTATATTAGGATGGTGCAGGGAAATACTGTAGTTCTCAAAGGGTATTTCATGGTCAGGTCTCGTTTCCGGAAAAAAAATTAATTCGCCAAACCTCGCAAGAAGAGAATCTGGAACATAGAAAATCTAATGGAACATTTCGAGCACAAGCGGGAATGAGTTTAGGGACAAGAAGCTCTCCAACATTTCTCAATTATGGTCTGACAAACGGGAAAGCCGTCGAGGCTTAATGAAAATCCACACCCAGAGAAAAGTCGGCGGATAGGAGTAAGTACCTTTCACGTGACATGTCGTCGGCAACGACAGCGGAGTCTGGGGTCACATCGTAGTTCTCGCCGCCACGGGAGCTCAGGCCTTTCAGTTCACTGGGGCGACTAAACTTGTCTCCTTCACGGTACCGTTGCCAGTAGACATCCTCAGTGTCGTCCACATTGCCCTCCTCATAATCATTTGAGCCATACAAGTCCGAGTCCGACTCGTTCGCCATGACAGGCGGCACTTTCAGCTTGGAACTCGGGTTCTGCGGCTTGCCCCACGGCTGATCAAACACATACGTCGGCAACGCGGGGCACTGCTCCTTGGAGTAATTATACGCCACCATGGCGGCATAAGCAGGGTGCTCCACGTTCTTCGACATGTCCGCCGACACGTCGCGATAGCCACGCAACGCATCCATGCCTCGACGCTCACCCTCGTCGTCTGGGCTCCAGGTGCCACGCGTGGAGTCCACGTCCACCTCCACGTTGTACACGTGCGCCGAATGGTCGTCGTAGCCACCACGCAAATGCACTGGTGCCGGGTCGTCGAGGGCCGACGAACTGGCGCAGCGAATCTGCTGCAAGTCGCGTCCCGAGAACGTTTGCTGGTGATGGTGGTGCTGCTGCTGTTGCTTCCGGCGCTGCTTGCTCCGGCGCAACTCACTGCGGTTGGTCGTCTGAGCGCGCATGCTCGCATGGTGCGCGAGTTGCAAGTCCCGACATGGACAGTGCGCAGAGTGGGTCACAGGCACGAACTCGGTACAGCACTGGTAGGGCACTTCGTAAATCGGAATGGAGCCCGCGTGGGCTTGGGACGCATTGTTGGCATCAATCGTGGTACTGTAGCCTCCGGATCGCGGGCCCAAACCAGCCAACGGTTTCTCCGACGCAGTCGACATCAGCGTGCTCGTGGCGGACTTCCTCGGATATCCGGCGTTGTTGTAATTGGACAAAAGGCAAACGTGGGAGTACAAACCCTGCGGCGTGGCTGCACCCGGTCGGACGTGGTTCAGACCCTCGTACATGTGAGACGGCGAAGCGCAGCCGCAAGACTGTAGTTGGTAGTTGTTGACCGAGTCGTGTCTCGGGGTGCCAGCCACGCAAGAGGATTTGCTGTCATTCGGACAACTCTGCCGACTGCTACCAGTCGTGTTGCCACCAGCGTTGCACGCAGACATGCAAAACACGTCGCAACTGTTGGGCTTCCGGGCTTGGGATCCTTCGTGGCACACTTCCGCCTTCCGCAGCGGCTGAGTCGCCACATACAAAATCAGCAAGCTCGACAGGACCTCCAACACTCTCATCGTGACGTGGTACGCGAACCAAGGGCACACTTTGGTGAACACAGAGTCGTTGTTCTTAGCATAAACGAAGATGATCCCACACGTCATCGTCACGCAGATGAGCAGCACCAGCAGGGCTATGAAAACCGACACGCGAATGGCAAGTTTCAGCGTGGGTCTCGGGAACCGCTTCGGGACCGCAGCACCTTTCATGTGCAGCGTGTTGAACACTTCCCTCTGGTACTCCCGACTGTTCCGCACGGCAGCCCCGTACAAGTGTCGAAACACGGCAAAGAAACACACAGACAAAGCCACTCCCCAGATGATGAAAATCACACGACCAATCAGCTGGAGCTGCGAAGTCAATCCCACGTTGCTCCCGACAACCACGTCACCCAAGACAGTGACGAGGAAGTGGAGCACCACGATGCCAGCGAGCGTCATCGGGTTCTGCAGATACGGACTCAACACCTTGACCTTAGAGGCCTGCAGCAAGCCGAGGAAGACGACAGCGAAGGACGACGAGAGGCACGGAAAAGTCAAGTCGAACAACAGATGCCCCAAAATCGACGGCAGGAATTTGCCGACGTTGTAAGCGTCGTAGAACAGCGAGAAGCACCGCGAGAAATTCATCATGAACATGAGGGCCAGAACGGTGAAGAAATAGCCCTTGGAAAGCAGCGTGGGTTTTGTGGAGCGCGACAGGGCGACGATGCTAAATCCAGCCAAGATCCCGAACATCGTACCGAAAATGTACACGTGGGCGGCCCATGTGTTGCCTAGTTCGATCGAGATTTGCCGCGGGTCCGGGGCATCGCTGCTGGTGGCGTCAGCATTTTCCAACTGAGGCACGATTTTGATGTCAGGCTGCGGGCTGCTCTCAGGCGGCTCGATCGGCTGTCCGAACGCAGGCTGCTCATTCTCGCGGTAATCCGAGTAGGCTTCTCCGAAATCCGGTTCATTCTCAGACTCCTCAACGTCCATCACCTTGCGAGGCGTCGACGGAGGAGACGAAGGCAACGCACCCAGAATGTGTCTTAGGTCGTCATTGTAACTCCGCGGTCCGGTTTTCGGAATCGTGCTTGTTGGAGGAGGTCTAGTTGTGGTAGTGGTGGTGGTGGTGGTGGTCGTTGTGGTCGGCCTCGGGGTCGTGGTAGTTGTCCTGGTGGTTGTCGTGGTAGTTCTCGCCGTTGTTGGGATCGGAGGGAACGTGAATATCTCGGGTCCCCGTGTCGGCGGGAAGGCATTGTCGCGGTAAATGTCAAACCCGTCGTGGGAATCCGAAAGGCGCGGGAAGCTCCAAGCTTGCATCGGAGTAGTGGGTCGACGCGTGGTCGTCGTCGACGCGTCCCGTTGGTTATTCACATTTGCCACTTTCTGGAAAATCGACGCCAACTTCATCTCCTCTAGGTTAACGCTGCCAAAAGGACTCGCGCCATTCGCCGGGAGCTGCTTGGACAGTAAAGACGAATCTGTCCGAATCTCCGAAACCAGCAACACCACCATTAATGCCACTGTCACAGTTATTCGCGTCATCGTCCCACTCGTCAGGCACTCTTCATACCTGAAAAAGCAAAAATGAAGGTAAAAAACGTTAATTGAATAAAAATACAGTCTACATGCTACACAATTTGTCTCATAGACATAGACGGACAAAAATGTAGCTCTGTTGTAGGGACTCCACTAAACAAGGGCTTTTCAATCATTCCCGGATTATACTGCACCATTTTCAAGACATTAATGACAGTGTTCGCGTATCACCTCATAGATATCACCTACAGTATGTCTTAAACTCAATTGAAGGACGCATTAATCTGTCATAATTTCAGAATTTCACAAAAACATACATTTGAAATTCAGGTTTCCATTTACGGATGTTTCCGAGTCATTTCTCCCAGTCTCTTTCGCCAAAATTATCCACTTTTTTCGAAGTGACAAAACAATTTTTCCATCCTCTTGTATAGATTTACATCTTGCAAGTCAACTGAAGTCACTCTCTACGTCAAGAGACGCCTGAATATTGAAAAAATGGATAGGCTCTCTCTCTCCGCTTACGATTACAGCACTGTACAGCAGTGCCGATATTTTGTCTTTACCAATGTTCTCCGGACAAAAAATTCCCTCCACGTTTTCTGGATACCATTGCATAGAATGCGGCTGTGATGCCGTGATTGCAAGGTCCAGCCATTCAAATTTTTCATTCAGTTTTCTCAAACGCCGTCTACATGTTTTCCGCGTGTTCCTTCGAATAAGCTGTTCAATGCGATGCTTATCAAGTGAGAAAAATCGAAAATTGTTGTCAAAAAGCAAGCTGAAGATCTTGAAAAAATAGCCGTAAGATACGATGCCCGCGATTGAAATCTTTACTCATCTTCGGCGCATTTCAAAAAACCTGCAACACCCATGCCCAACTATGCGACAGTGCCTTTTCGACACAATAAAGAGGCCCTCACGTGACGCAAAATGTTAGCATTGCAGCCATAACCCTGGCGCATCGAGTCCCCGCAAGAGCGGACAAGTGCAGCTGGCCATGGAGGTACAATAACTCACGAAGGCAGTCACGGGGAACAGGGAGGAGAAATGAGAAAGAGAGGGTTGGAAGACCAGGCGAGGTTAGAGCAAACGTCGCGATGTTGACCTCGGGCAGGTCAGCAACGACGGGCCGCTCATTCAACACCGGAAATAACGAGGACCCGACGTCGGGATAACGCGACGTCAGCTGAGCCAGCACTACATTATCACAGCAAGCCGCACGGAAATCCACGTGCTCCTTCCTATTCCCGGAATCTCTGCTCGACAGGCGCCCGACCAGCAGCTAACCCCTATTTCATTCTCCTTTACCCTTAAACTCGGTCATTCGTTATTTCAGCATTCAAGCGGTAAAAATCCTCTTACCGCATTTACTCGAACATAAGACGCCATCCATTGTAAGACGATGCTTTTTTTCCGTTTCTACATCTTCAAATTACGCATAGCAACGCTGGCTGCGACGATAAGACACACTGAAATTAATTTTGGATTTCTCAATGAATAGAGGAGTAAGTTTATCCTACTCATGCTTCAAACTTGAGCGCCCTAGAATAAAACTACAGGTATTGTACTATAAAAATCATTTCATTTTTAAATCCAGAACAACAAGTTTTGTTGGTCGGATTTGAGCATGCATTATACATTACACGCAAATCTATGACGCCTGCAAATTTAAGATGCCATGGAACCAACATAAAACGCACCCTGATTTTTGGAGAAAACTTTCAGGGGGAAAGTGAGTAAATAATTTAGAGAAAACTTTTCAACTTTTCAGATGACTGATGTCATGTTAGCAGAGAGCCGACGAAATCCGAATTTTACTTCCAATTTTTAGTACGAATTTCAATATTAACGAACTCTGGAAGATGTTGAATAAGTTAGTGTAGCGTACTTTAGCGGATATGATATGCATGCAAATATTTGACGCCCGACAGTGATTTTTTTTACATCACAGATCATGTTTCTTCATAAAATAGAAAGAAGTCGTTTCAATGATGCGATATCCTGAATCAACACCCATTAATCAAATTTCAACATGCAGTCGAGTTAGTGGAGATTCCTCACTGGCTCGGAGTGAAAAAGACTGGGTAAACCAGACAGCAGTATCACAATGCTCGGAAAACCGCTGCGAGAGATTACGAGGTGTGCGTCGCAATCGGCTGGACAAACCTCAAGACAATTTCACGTTAACGGGAAAACAAACAAGCGAGGCGTCGGGAATGCAGTTTACACGAAATAAACTGTTGTAAGAGAATTCTTCTCGAACAAAGCGAAGGAGAACAATCCTGGGAAAAGGCGCAGTCCCGAAAGATGCGGCATAACCGGTGAAACACGCTTCTGGGACGAGAAAGATGAATGAGGCCCGCCGCAGAAAATCCCCACGGCGATAAAAATTCCGCGCGTCGCTCTGTTTCCGACGGTGCAAATCATGGCGCGAGAAGGGCCGAGCTCCCGTGGAACTTGGCAACCAGATCCCAAGTTGCGATGCAACTCCGAGCTGGTTAAGAATATAAACATCGCTCCGGAGTCAACTTCGCCAGCCAACTTCGTGCCGACGCTGAGAGCCGCTTCAATCCGTCACTCCAAGCAAGCCTTTCCGTCGTGAAGAGGGAACGGGGGTAAAAAAAAAAAAAAAGAGGGAAGGAAAAAAAGTCACCATTAGCAGTGCTCGACACTCGTCGAGAGTCGCGTCTGAGCCTGACAGGCCGTCAAGGTTTGATGTCGGGGCTAAAGGGGGAGGGGAACTTTTCCGCAGCGACCATCGCCTCGATTTCGCGTCAGCGATCCGGATCTCGGCAACGATGCTAATTAGCGTCGCGGGAGACAGCCACTCAACCGGTCAAGAGTTTTCTTTGCCAAGATGACACGACGGGAACGTATCAGAGGAATCAGACCTGCGACACTGGTCAATCGTAATCCCCGTCAAACAAGCGGACCTGATGAGCCGAATTATTGCCCCCATGGAAAAAAAGCTAGATCGGATTGGACATCAGCAACAACGGGTTAGTCAGCCATCATCCAGTTTTCACCGCGATAACAGGCGAATAAAATGAGGGGGTCGAACACGATAATCATCTCTTTATCGCTAATTACCACTCTTCTCATCAGAAAAGCTTCGGATTTTCCGATAAAAGCTACTAGTGCGTGACTCCCCACCCGCATCAGCGTAACATAGAACGAAATCAACGAATTAATTCAGATACAATCGAGGAGGGTAACCCGATCTTCTCTCCCGCAAAAAATATACAAAGAAGAAATAATGATTACTAATTATCTCCACTCGAAGACCACCGGAATACTCGAACACTGAACAAATAGAAGATGTAGTACGCTCGACACATCAGGTTTCACGAGTACCAGAGCTCTGCTTTAAAAAGTGCACTGTTTTCCAAGTAATCTGTCAGCCACGACTATTTTACAACGTGTCATGCAAAGCGAACCATAAATTACGTGACGATCCTCGTGCGCAGCATATGTAAGTGCGGAATAACGAGCCTTGTAAGTGATGAGGTGTAAGAACAATCGAACTGATTTGAAAATTCATCACATAATTTATTCATTGTGTTTGAATAATGTAGCCAATTCCTCGAGAAAATGAGGATTCCTTTGTCAAACCTCACAATGTCACGCACCTCTGAAGGAGCTAATGTTGGACACAAGGGAAATTACCGAATCTCTGAATATTCGCGTAATTCAACGCGAACTGTTCACATCGGTGGATCCGACATAAGTTTCGGTCGCATTTTTTCTGCTGCCGGAGTGACATGGAAGTTGATACAATAATTATTCTTTTTTCTCTCTGATATAATCCGGAGTGCAGGGAATTGTCACACAAAAAAAACATAAGTTATGGATGAGAGGAAAAATTTTTGAAGGCAGCGCTCTGCTTTCTAATGAGACTCACTGTTCACAAAAAATGTCCCAAAAATAAAATCACCGAGTGTACTGCATCCTGTCCATTTTTTCTCATGCGAGGATTCTCATTCCCATTTACGAGAAATAAGCGGCGTTTGCGGTCGTATTTTTCCTGCCACCGGAGCTGATGCAATGAGGCATGCATTTGCCGATGCTCAAGCGAGAGTTTAAGCTAGCAATTTTCAGAAGGAATACAGCTAAGGGCAAGATCATAAAAAAATAACTTTAAGCGATTTCCCACACGAGATTCAAGGCATATGTAAAAAAAAAATGCCTGCCAAGTACCGTAATTGGAAAGAAACCGCGAGCTTTCGTCCAACAGTTCATATTCTTTGAAGAAGTCGAGTTGAGATATCTTCACTTGCATCTGCCATCAAAAGATATTCGTGCAAACTTGATGAGCCGGATTATTGGCCCTCAAAAACAATCATTGATCGTGGTTGCGATGGGCAGAGCAGAGCCCCGTCGTGTATTCCTCCCCGGTGATCATTGGTAGTTTGTAGCCGAGGGCGATGCACGGGACCCTCGTACTAGGGAGAATAAACAGTGGTCAAGATTGATCGCTTTCTTCCCATAGAATCTGATAGGCACTCCGAGAGATCTTCACGTCACAAGGACCGTCGGCTGTGGTTCCACGTATAGCACTGAAAGTCAACACGAAACTTTTCCGCGCTCCGAAGTTTATTTTTCCTTTTCATCCGAGACGTGAAGATGCCTTCGCCAGATCTCCTCCAGGTTTCCGTCAGTAACCCACGAAATGCTGCTGGAAACAGGATCGCAGCACCGGGATGGGATTGTTGTGCAAAAAAGTAACGCTTTGCTTTTCAGCGCCCCAGGATTCAGCACATGAAGACGTAATGCAACATGCATATCCAATGACACCACTTGGAAAAGCCTACATCTCATTGGAAAACCCCAGGCGGAGAAGCAGCAATTTATTTAAATCAATTCAAACCCAAAAATAAATAAAAATCTAGTTCCCAGTCCTGATCATCAAGAACCATTCCGAGCTTCTCGGAAAACTCCTGAAGGAATGGACCGAAGAAACATGTAGGAATTTGGCCTTTGAAGTACCGAACAAAGAATGGTTTGACCTTGATAATCCAAAAGTTCAGCACGCAAAGTCGTAATTAAGCGGTCACACGCCTCACTTTACCCCTAAAAATGGGCTTAAAAACTCGGGTGTGTGCTGTACAAAACAAACAATTTGCGGTCAGGCGGCGCGGAGACAAGAACGTGTAGCCTTATGCTTGAAATCATGTGGATGGATATAAAACCTATCGTAAGGAAGAACATTTTTCCCAGAGAAGTGCCCATGATTCTGTTCATGCGATTTCCCGGAGTTTTGTCAGGTTAAAATAAAATAATGTACAGTACTTAAGTTTTGCATGCTCATCGACGAAGCTTACATAATCTTAATGCACTAAAACGTATTCCACATATTCCATGCATCAAATACAGTACATGACAGTACCGTCTTACACGTTCACTAGTCATTAGTCCCAGTGCATCTTCATTTCGACACGTCATCCCAAAACCAGGGATGTAAAACGTGATACAAAACGTTCAGACGCCATGGTTTTGGGATGAAGTGTCGAAATCAGAAAAAATGAAAATATACTCTGTAATCGCGAAGATGCGAGTGAACTCATACAATCCAAATTACAACTACTGGATTTGCCCGTGTCGTGAACTCAACTTTCTACGTCCTCTTTTATACCTGGAGTGATATGTTTTCTTCATCTTGACTCCATCCCGACATAAAATCACTATACATCTCATCCTCACGTACCATTCATTCATAAACATTCCTCTACACTATACACATGAAGACCTCGCGTACCACCGGCTGAAAACCCCCCGTGCAGAGGAAGACAACAGTACATCGATTATTCTTCACATGAAGTAGCATAAGGTCGAGGACGCCGAAGAACGATACCATGTGTTTTCTATCGCTGCAAAAAGCGTTCGAAAAGAGGCCCCCGCCAGAATGCGCGACGAAAGAATCCCGACAAATGATTTCTTCGCGAAACAAGCCATGGTCTTGTTCGTCTTCCACCAGCTTGTTTACCCCTCTCCACGCAACCACGGGAAAATAAACGAGCAACCCGGGCCGCGGAGGCGAATCGCGACGTGCCAAAATATTTCACCGAAAAGATTGGTTAAATGCGCGTGTGTGAGCGGCACGCGGACCCAGTTGATGAATGTCGGGAACCAGCGCCTCAACCCCATCACGGCGAGCACGCCAGTAATTTGCCAAGAGCAAAAACACCCCCCCTCTTTCTCACCAGGAAGATCCATCAAGCCAGACAATCCTGAAGTGCAGTACACCTAAACGTGGATCTTTGAAAAGCCCACGTGGGCCCGCGGATCATCTTCGGTAAGACGCGCGAAAGCCACCTGAACGCGACACAAAGGCAGATTTACGTAAGCCAATTACCGACACCGACACACGAGCGAAATGCGGTCGAATAAAAACCACTACAGCGAGCCAAGTGCGTGCGGAACACATTCCTATCCGGCAGAGCATCATCCCCCTCACCCTCCTCTGGTTTTGGGGTCCAGTGCAGAAAACAAAAGCGCCATAACAACGCATCCTTCCTTCAAAATCAATAACGAACAACCGAACCTCTCAGAATTTATCTTAAAATCTATTTTTCACTCAACTATATGGGCCGCGCAGCCCCTCCCTCGAACATTGTGTTCAAAAAGGTTCGTGCAGCCTTTACTCGTCATATTGCCTCAAATTTGCGCCGACTTCGATTTCACAGCAGAAATGAACAATTCTTTCTGGCTTGAAATAGAGGTGTTTTAGTAAAAAAGAAAGCCCTGTTGCGATGAAAACCTGCCGAATGTGTTTCAAAGCAAGATGATTATCTTGAAGTGAAAACACTGTTCATAGACTATTGGCAATCCCGGATCTCACTTGTGCGTAGGCCGCAAAATTCTCTTTAAGTATGATGCTCAAAATCGTGGGGCGGCACATATCCAAACGCGGCCTATGTTATAGGAAGTCAAGTAACCCGAAAAAACTCGACGGAATGAAATTCTCACATAATCTCGCAGACGCAGTCGTCGTGGCAAGCAAGGTTCATTTGATTCAAGGAATCGCGAAATACGGAAGTGAAGCTAGAATTCACCCTTTGCATCAACCATAGGAAACAACGTCGGAAGGATTTCACCGACTGTCAAGAAAGCGGATCAAGGTGGCTTACAGTTCAGTGATATGCAGGTGAGCTTGAAGGATCGCACGAACCCAGAGGGATGCATGTTGATACGTGAATTCGAGGAAAAATATTTGGTAGGGAGAAGTGCTCGTAGCGAGGGGCTTTTGCTCGAGCGTTATTCTGGCTGCGTCCCTCGTGCCATGGTTCTTGTCTTCTTAGTTTGCCTTCCCTCTGCTCCTTATTCTTCTTCGCTTTTCGACGCAAATCTTTCCGCACCCGGTCGAGAAACAAAGGGTCTTTGGCAACTCTGACGTGACGGGAAGCATCCAGACATCGCACCCCGAAAATAACTTCGCCCTATGCTGCCAATAACCATCTACACGCCGCACAGGGGCCGCGGTAAATCTCGAAGAGTATCCAGACGCACGTCCGCTA